AATGCACATATAAAATCAGATTTACTCTCAGTTGTTTCAACACCAACAAAATTGATTTGAAACTTCTTATTTTATAGTTCTTAGAATTTTTTTTGGGGGGGTGGGTTTTTGAGACATGGTCTTGCTATATAGCCCATGCTGGCATTGAACTTGCAATCCTTCTGCCTCAGTCTCCCTGGTATTGGGATTAAACACATTCATCACCATGCCTGGCTTTGTGTTCTTAGAATATTAAATTAAGTATATAGTAATTTTTAAAATGAACTTAAATTTAGTGCCAATAAGGGATTTGAGTAGGAATAAAAAGGTTTGGGTATATTGGCATCAGGCCGTACAAGAAGAATAAAGTTAATTGCCCAAAGAAAGCTAGCACTCAGAATAACTCTAAAATGCTAACTTATGTATTATTTAATATAAACTGTTTCTGAGAAAAGTTGTAAGAATTATATAGCTTACATAGTTATAAATGTTATTGGTGACTCACACCTGAAATCCTAGCTACTCAGGAGACAGATCAGGAAGATCTTGATTCGAAGCCAGCCTGAGCAATAGTTAACTAGACCCTATCTCAAAAAAAAAGTCACAAATAAGGGCTGGTGGAGTTGCTCAAGTTGTAGGCCCTGGGTTCAAACCCGTATCACAAAAAAAAAACCTTAATGAGCTTTTCTTTAAATTTTAACAGGATTGGGGAAATGTTAGAGAATTCATTTGGTAAAGTAAATAGCTACAAAGACCACTTTGGAAAGTCAATGCCAACTGCCATGGAATGTGAAGTACATGAAACAATTGCAGATATTTCTGAAGAAGATAGTTTCTCATTATGTTTTCTAAGTATAGAAAAGAAAATCCACAAAAGATAAGAATGGACAAGATTAGGAAAAAAATTTTTCGTGAAACAGGAACTGATGAATTCAGTGAAGAAGCTAATAAACAAGTTAAAGAAAATAAACATTCATTTGCATCTGAAATGGAACCGAATGATAGTGATCCTTTAAGAAATCAGAAGAAAATTGCTGAGGAAGTTATGCCATCTTCAGACTGTGAATGGTCTCAACTAACCCTCTCAGGTTTGACTGGAACCCAGATAGAAAAAAATACCTCTACTACGTATTTCTTCTTGTGACCAAAATTATTCTGAAAAGGACTTAGTAGACACTGAAAAAGAATGTACCAACTCTATTACTTTAGAAAATTCTTTGCCACATATTTCTAGCCTGCCAAAGTCAGGAAAGACGTCAAATGAGGAAACACTGGTAGATGAGGGAGATGAAGGGCAGCATCATGAATCTAATGAAGACTCCGTTCTTGCACTGGAGCAGACAATATCTGGAACTTCTCAAGTAGCGTCTTCATTTCACAGTATCAAAAAGTTTCTATTCAGGATGAGGGAACCATCTGAAACTTCTGGTACAGTTTCCTTAGATCATGTGACTGATCCAAACTTGAAAGAAGAAACTGAAGCCTCTGAAAGTGGATTGGAAGTATATGCTGTTTCCTCACAGAAAGAGGATTCTTTATGCCCTACTTCAGCTGATAATGGAAGCTGGCCAGCCACTATCAAACATACTTCCGTAACTTCGAAGAATACAGGTTTAATATCCACTTTGAAAAAGAGAAGAAAAAAGTTTATTTATGCTATAAATGATGAAACATCTTCTCAAGGAAGAAAAATACAGAAAGACCAAAAATCAGAACCAACTAACCATTCAGCCCACTTTGAAACAAATGCTTTTGAAGCACCACTTACATTTATAAATGCAGATTCAGGTACCTCTTTTTTTTTTTTTTCCAATTTTATACAAGGTGATAAAGTTCTCTTATTTGAATATGTGAATTTCTTTAATCTTCTAAATCTTAAAAAAAATCCTGCTTTCCTTCAGTAGTGTTTTTTGGTCTCTATATCTTATATTCAGTCTTAGTAGCTATATGCCTGATTGTTGAGGCCTTTGAATCATGTCATTCAAACCTATTGGATTGGTTTCCTCAGTATAACTGTCACTTTTTTTTTGTTATTGTTGGGACAGGGGTTTGAACTAAGGGGTTCACACTTGCTAGGCACCACTTAAGCCACACCTCCAACCCCAAAGAATGATGATGGATCTTTTTTTTTTTTCCCTTTTTTTGGTACTAGGGTTTGAATTTAGGGTCTTACACTTGCTAGGCAGGCACTCTATCACCTGGGCCACACCCCCAGCCCTTTTTTTTGAGACAGGGCCATGCTGTGTTGCCCAAACTTAGTCTCAAACTTATGGGCTCAAGTGACCCTCCCACCTTAGTCGTCCGAATATTTGGGACTATGGTGTATGTACCACTCTGCCTGCTCCATCACTCTTGAGACAGATTTTTTTTTTTTTTGGTGGTACTGGGAGTTGAATTTAGGATCTCACCCTTGCTAGGCAGGTACTTTACCACTTGAGCCACTCTGGCAGCCCTTTTTTGTGTTGGGTATTTTTAAGGTAGGGTGTTGTGAACTATTTGCTTTGGGCTGGCTTCAAACTTGATCTCTGCCTCCTGAGTAGGTAGGATATCAGGCGTGAGCCACTGGTGTCCAACTATTTTTAGATAGTGTCTCACTTTATTCCCAGGCCACCTGGACTGTGATCCTCCCTTATAACTATGATGACAGGTGTGTGCCACCACACCCAGCTACTGGTTGAGATGGGGTCTTGTGAATATTTTGGTTGGGCTAGCTTCAAACTGTGATTCTCTGTCTCTGCTTCCCAAGTAGCTAGGGTTACAGGCTTGAGCCACTCTGCCTGCTTGAGACAGTTTTTGATTCATAAATAGTAACAGCTTGGCTACTTAATTCTTGATTTAATTTTAAAAGTGTTTATTATATGCAGATTAGGCATCTATAAATATATGGTGCTGTTTAGTATGTATTTTCTGTAAAGCATACAAAAAATAGAGAAAAAGTTAATTACTAGTTAAATATAATGTAAACTAGTCCTAAATTATTGTTGTTACATAGTCTTCTTAAACATTTAGAGATTACATAGAGGTATTACTATATCTCTTGAGTCTGCAGTGTATACAATGAAACTTAGTTTTGTTTTAGTAATAATTTACTTAACTGTAGCTAAACTGTATGTTAAAGTGATTTTAATGCCAGTCACATTGGCATATACCTATTGTCCCAGCTACTGTGGAAGCTGAAGCAGGGGGATTGCTTGAGCTCAGGAGTTAAAGGCCAGCCTGGGCAATATAGGGAGAACCCATTCCACCCTGAAAAAAAGTGGATTTTTTTCTCCCTATGAGAGAATATTAATGAGTGCTAATGGCTTAGTGAGTAGGGTTGATGGTGCTAGAGTACAGACGAACTGTTTGAGGTTTGGTTTAAATTTTCAGAGAAAAATGTTTGATATAATATATCAGAGTTGAAACCAATTACATTAGTTACTTTTGTATCATTGTGACCAAAGTACCTGACAGACAACTTAAGGGAGGAATTACTTATTTTGGCTCGTAGTTTCAGAGGATTTAGTCCATGGTCACTTGGCTTCATATGCTTGAGCAGACATTATGACAGGAAGGGCATGTGTCAGGAGCTTCTTTACCTTATGGTAAACAGGAAGCAGAAAGAGGAACTATAGGAAGAGCCAGGCAAGGCATAGCCCCTAAAGCCATGCTCCAGTGAGGCCTGCTTCCTCCTACCAGGCTTCACCTCCTAAAGTTTCTAAACCTACTGAAATAGTATCACCAGCTGGGGATCTGGGCTTTAATACTTGAGCCTGATGGGGACATTTTATATTCAAACCATAAAACCAATGAATCAGTAATATATAATATAGTAGTAACTCATTAAATACAATGAGATTAAGGACTTGGAAATTCAAAGGGTAGAGAAAATTAGCTGAATAGAATAACTTAAGTCATTTGCCGTTACAATTGAAAATTGGTCTTCTTTCAGGGTCTTTTTATAGAGACTTTTAAAATTTTCATTTGTTTTGTTTTTCTGTGTGCATGTGTGTCTGGATTTAAACTGAGGACTTTACTCTTGCTAGATAGACACTCTACTGCTTCAGTTATGCCCCCAGCCCTTATTTGGTTTTTCAATACAGAAGAATTAATTAAAGGAAATGGTTACTTTTCTTATTCCTCTAACTTACTTTCCTATATTCTATTAAACCATTATTAGCAATGAACTTTTTCTTTTTTTTCCTGGCAATGGGGTTTGAACTCAGTACCTCATGCTGGCTAAGCAGGCACTCCATCACTTGAGCCACTCCGCCAACCCTTTTTGTTTTGGGTGTTATGGAGATAGAGTCTCACGAACTGTTTGGCCAGTCTGGCCTTGAACTGTGATCCTCCTGATCAGTAGCTACTCCTGAGTAGTAGCTAGTATTACAGGCATGAGCCACCAGTGCCTGGCAGCAATGAATTTCTTCTAATTTTATTTTCCAGTACAAATTAAGATTTTTTGGAAATTTGAGTTTTATTTGTAGTAGCTAGCTATTTCCTTAAACCAGATACTATGTGTGTATGTGTGTGTGTGTGTGTGTGTGTGTGTCACTGGGGTTCAAACTCAGGGCCTTATCCTTGCTAGGCAGGCACTCTTACCTCTTGAGCCATTTCGCCAGCTGAACTAGATACTAATTTTGATTGTTGGTATATATTATTTAAAAAAAAAAATCCTAGGCCCCACTTATGTTTAGCTAGAAAATTTAATGACTTCACAATAGAGATTATTTCGCATTCTGTTTCAAATCTGGTATTCGCTTTTTGCTTTTCGTGTAATTCTTGTTTAAATACTAACTTTTTAACTTAGTAAAAAAAATAGTTAATGTTTGATAGTACTTTAACTTTATTTTGTCACTTTGTATTCTTATGTTTAGGTTTATTGCATTCTTCTGTCAAAAGAAACTGTTTACAAAATGATGCTGAAGAACCAACTTTGTCCATAACCAACTCTTTTGGGACCATTCTGAGGAAATGTTCCAATAGTGAAAGTAGTTATGCTAATGTAATAATACCTCAGGATTTTAATTATGAAGATGCAAAAATTAATAAAGAAAAACTACAATCACTTATAACCGTAAAAACTGATTTTCTGTCATGCCTACAGGAAAGACAATATGAAGATATCCAAAAAGCCCACAAGTCTCAGATGTAAAAGAAAAGATCTTGGTTGCATCATGTTGCTCTGAAGCACAACATTTAAAAGTGGAGCATAGCAGTGTTCATTCTGAATCACAAAAAATCTTTTTAGATGATCATGATAATACCAGGATTCTTATGTTATCTCCTAGCTCCAAATATCCTCCGTCAAATTCAGCTGTGATTTGTAGAGGAAAAGAATCATATAAAATGTCAAAGAAATTAAAATTTAAGAATGGCAAAGCTGGTGTTAAATTAACCAAAAACATTCCCTTGGAAAAAATTCAAGAAGTATGTGTTTTAAATGAGAATTCTAAAAAAACTGAGCTTTTGCCACCTGAAAAACACATAACAGCAGCATCACCGTCAATGAAGTTGCAGTTCATCCAAAATTCAAATCCAATAGCAATCCAAAAAGACCAAGAAGTAACTACTCTAATTTCAAAAATAGCTGAAGAACTTTTTCCAGACAATGAGAATCATTTTGTGTTTCAAACAACTAAAGAAAGGAATAATCCCGTTTTAGGAAATACTAAGGAATCTCATGAAGCAGGCCTCAGTTGTGTAGAAGCTACCATGGCACTAGATACACACGATGAACAAGAAGCTCAACTGTTGATTACAGAAGATTTTGACTCATCAGATGTAGTCCACGATCTTATAAAAGAGAACAGAAATAGTGTAAAGCAGAATCTAAAATTAACTACAAGTCAGGATTTAAACGCGGATACCTCTTTGGATGCGAAGTCAAACAGAAATAATGATTATGCAAACAAATGGTCAGTGCTTTTAGATACAGTTTCAAATTGCAGTTTTGGAGGTAGCTTCAGAACAGCTTCCAATAAAGAAATAAAACTCTCTGAACATAATATTAAGAAAAGCAAAATGCTCTTCAAAGATATTGAAGAACAATATCCTATTAATTTAGCTTGTTTTGAAATTATAAATACCTCATCGTTAGATAATCCAAAGAAACTCAGCAAACTTGATTCGCAGTCAGTTAATACTGTATCTCCATGTGTGCACAATAGCACATTTATTTCTGATCATGAAAATTACAGAACCCCTCAGATGTCATCTTTAAAGCAGAATTTTAATTCAAGCCATAATTTAACACCTAGCCAAAAGGCCGAAATTACAGAACTTTCTACTATATTAGAAGAGTCAGGAAGTCAGTTTGAATTTACACAGTTTAGAAAGCCAAGCCAGATCATACAGAAAAATACATTTGAAGTGCCTGGAAACCAGAAAGTTATCTTAAATACCACTTCTGAAAAATGGAAAGACATTAATCTTCACCTCACAAGAAGTGATGCCTCATCTATAGGTCAGGTAGGTAGCAGAGAGAAATTTGAAGATGCAGTTGGAGTTAAACAAAAGTTTGCTTGCTTGTTCAAAAAGAAGTGTAACAAAACTACATCTGAAAATGAAGTGGAGTTTGCAGGCTTTTATTCTGCTCTTGGCACAAAACTGAATGTTTCTACTGAAGCTCTGCAAAAAGCTGTGAAACTGTTCAGGGACATTGAGAATATTAGTGAGGAGACTTATGCAGAAGTAGATACAAGAAGTTTTTCTTCAAGTAAATGTCATTCTGTTTCAATGCATAAGATAAAATATCAAAACACTAGTAAAAATTTAAATGAGAAAAATAATGAATGCCAACTAATATTACAAAATAATATTGAAATTACTTCTGGTTGTTTTGGTGAAGAAAATCCTGAAAAGTACATGGAAAATACAGAAAGTGAAGATAAGAAATGTCCTGATGTCAGAAGAGAGATTTGTATATCAGAAGAATCTGATAGCAGTGATTCAAGTAAAAATGATACAGTTTATAACAATGAAAGTTACTTGTCATATACTGATATGCATAATATGTATCTTAAATCATCTAGCCAGTTTATAAAGCAGAGAAGCACACAACTTAAAGAAAGTTTGTCAGATTTAACTTGTTTGGAAGTTGTGAAAGATGAAGAAACATGTCATATTGATTCTTCCAATAAAGAACAGTTAACTATAGGTGAAATGGAGCAAAACATTAAAAATTTTGGTACATTCTTTCAGACTGCAAGTGGAAAAAATAATAGTGTCTCCATTGAGTCATTTAGTAAAGTTATAAATTTCTTTGATAAAAAACCGGAAGAGCCAAGTGACTTTTCAGATTCCATTAATTCTAAATTACTATCTGGTGTAATAAAGAACAAAATAGACTTTTCAAGTCATGAGCAAACAGACTTGGTTAAAAACAAAATATTGGAAGAACATATCCCAATTGGTATTGAAAATCAATTACTGACTATCCAGCAACAACCCAAATGTGAAATAAGAAAGAGTAAAGAAACTACTCTATTGAGTTTTCATACAGCTAGTGGGAAGAAAGTAAAAATTGCCAAGGAATCTTTGGACAAAGTGAAAAATCTTTTTGTTGAGAAAGAACATGTTAGTAAAATCACCAACTTTAGTTTTCAAGGGACAAAGACCCTAAAGGACAGAGAGGACTATAGAGAAGGTCTTGAATTACTGTGTGAGAGAATTGAAATAACTGTCCCAAAGTATAAAGAAATGAAAAACTCAGATGATAATGAGAAAAATTTTGTTTATAGGGATACTGAGGTGCAACCCAGGTTAAGTGATAATTTATATAGACAAACTGAAAATCTCAAAACATCAAACAGTATCTTGAAGTTTAAAGTACATGAAAATTTAGAGAAAGAAATAGCAAAAAGTTCTACAGCTTGTTGCATAAATCAGTCCCCTTATTCAGCCATTGGAGATTCAGCTTTAGGATTTTACACAGGACATGGTAGAAAAATTTCTGTGAGTCAGGCTTCATTTGCTAAAGCAAAACAATTGTTTACAGAAGAATTAGATAATAAACCAGAGAAAACAATACCACCAAGGTTGTTTGTATAAAGGAATATCCTGAGGATTGTGTACAAAATCTTTCATATGAAAATAGTTCAAATAGTATCATAACTGAAAATGACAAAACTCATCTTTCTGAAAAGCAAAATTCGACTTATTTAAGTAACCATAACATGTGTAACAGCTACTCATACCATTTTGATTTTTGTCATTCCAATGATGTATATGATGATTCAGGGTATTTCTCAAAAAATAAAATTGATTCTGGCATTGAGGCAGTCATGGAGAAGGTCGATGACAAAAACACTAGTATTTCTGAAGTATCTACTGTGAGAGAAGCAAGTACATACCCACAAACTGTAAATGAAGATATTTGTGTTCAGAAACTTGTGACTAACTCTTCATTACACAAAAATACAGCCATTGACTTGGGCATACCTGATTCAAATAATTTTGAGATAGGGTCACCTGCATTCAGTATAACCAGTGATATTCACATGAAACAAAAAAAGTGGAAGAGACATTGACAGGCAACTGCAATAAGGTAATCAAGCAAAGTGCTAAGAGTAAATCAGGTACTTGTCAGACAATTGTGGCAGGTGAAGTATTGGATAATTCAGAGGATATTGATATCCCTAACTCTGATGATGAAGAATGTACAGATTCACATAAGGTTCTTGCTGACATTCAAAGTAAACAAATTTTGCAGCATAACCAAAGTACATCTGGACGGGAGAAAGATTCTGAAATACCACTTTGTCATGTTGGTTTGAAAACATCTGATAAACGTAAATTTAATATAGGGGACTTTCCCCAGTCAATCTCATCTACAAATGCTTATGGGATTTTTAGCACAGCAAGTGGAAAATCTGTCCAAGTATCAGATGCTTCATTACGAAAGGCAAGACAGGTGTTTTCTGAGATAGAAGATAGTGCTAAGCAGCGCTCTTCCGCAGTATCACTTAATAATGAGCATTCCAAGCAGTTCACAAGAGAAGAAAATACTATGGTGCATACCCCTCAGAATGTACTGTCACCCCAAAAAACCTTTTCATATAATGTAAATTCATCTGCTTTCTTTGGATTTAATACAGCAAGTGGAAAACAGGTTACAATTTCAGAAAGTGCCTTACACAAAGTTAAGGGAATGTTTGAGGAATTTGACTCAATCAAAGCTGGACATACTCATCAGCATTCACCTACATCCAGACAAGATGTATCAAAAATACTTACTTGTGGTGATGAGAAAGCTCCAGAACGCTCTGTAAACTCTAAAATCCAAAAGGTGTACAATCATGAATTTAAATTGTCAGCTAACTCTAGTATTGAAAGTGGTTCTTCAGAAGATAATCACTCTAAAATTTCTCCATGTCTGTCTCAGTTTAAGCAAGACCAACAGTTGACACTAGGAAACAAAGTGTCACTTGTTGAGAACACTGCTGTTTTGGGAAAAGAACAAGCTTTACCTAAAAACATGAAAATTGGTAAAACTGAAACTTTTTCTCATGTTCCTATGAAAACAAATGCAGAAGTATGTTCTGCTTACTCCAGAGATCCAGAAAACTGTTTTGAAATAGAAGCAGTGGAGATTGCCAAAGCTTTTATGGAAGATGGCGAGCTGACAGATCCTGAACAACCAACTCATGCCAAACACTCATTGTTTGCATACCCAAAAAATGAGGAAATGGTTTTGCTAAATTCAAGAAATAGGAAAAAAAGAGGAGTTGCCCTTGATTCAATTGGTAAGCTTTTTTTCTTTTTTTACCTTTTGGTTTGCCAATTCTTTGTTTTACGAGTGTTCAATCTGTAATAGTTCTGGCATGCTAATAATTAGACATTTTTCTGTAGTGTTTGGGGGGAGTATGGTTTGACTCCTGATACCTGTAAATGTGTTCTAAGAAGTCACAGTTTGAGACTCTCAATGTGTTTTTAGAGGTTATTAATGTAATTGAGAAATTACTGTTAAAAGTTTGAGTTTTAGTAAAGCCTGTGTAATGCTAACCTACTAACTGTTTCATTTACGTAGCAGAGTGGTTCCAACTTTGGCTCTTAAAACTTTAAAAGTTGGTTTGAAGTTGTATCACCTACTGAGTTATATATACTTACTTAGCTGTACTACTTATTTTATACTACTTACTTTCCCTGAGCCTCAGTTTCCATATCTATAAAGTGCAGACAAAACTTCCCTCAGAATAATTGTGAACATAAAATAGTGTATCCAAATTACTTAACACTGAACCTGATATACACTGGGCAGAGAGTGTCCAGTAAGTGTTGGCTTGCTTCCTGTTTTTTTTTTATCTTGGAAGTATTCTAACAACAGATGGAGTTATCAACTAATAGCTTGATTGTAATGCCATTGGAACTACATTCTTTCTATTTTTGGCCGTACTGGGGATTGAACTTTTGAGCCATGCCCCCAGGCCTAACTTCTCTTTTTAATGTATGTCTAACATCTTAGTTCATTAGGTAATCAGATGTGTGGCATTTGGGGCTTTGTTTATTTGTTTGTTTTGGTAATGTCTCTAAGAAAAATCTTAAATTTTCAAATCTGTTGACTAGTTACAATTAAATGTCAAAACTCACTCTCCGTTTCTTAAGTGGATAATATTGAAATAACTAGCTCCTTTTAAAACTATCAGTAGAATATTCAAGTTACCAAATATCTTCTTGTCCAGCCCCATCATATCACTAAGAAAGACACTGAAGCAATAATCAGTTCATTCTAAGTCATCCTACTAGATACAGACTTTCTTTCATCAAGTGTTATTCAAGTCACATTCTATGTGGAGTTAAGCAGGCCTAAGTTTATAATAACCTTAAATTATTTGCTGTTCTTTAATACAAACTTCTGAAGTGCATATGCCTTAAGGTATTCATAATTCTTTTGTGGAAAATTATTATTTTTATCCATAGCAACCCATTTGTCTGTGTGTACTCTGAAATGGGTTACCTTCTGCCTAAAATAAAACAAGTTGAACTTCTAAACATTCTCAAAAGTGTTACTATTTAATTTCCCTCACTTCTGTTATATGTGAATATGTAGCTTCATCAGCTTCTGGTTATTTGAACAGTACAAAATCTTGTTGAACAATTAAACTACCTTCTAAAGTAGATCAAGCCTTGTAGGGATATTTTTACTTATTAAATCCTACAAATTCATTCCCTAGCAAAAAACAAAGTGCTTGTAGCCACTTAGCTCAGTATGACATGGAAACGTATTGCTTGAGTTATGGTTTCATCTTAGCCTCATAGAATTTTTAAATAAATGTTACTACTACTATGTTTCAGTGTAATTTTGTAATATTTAAAAGTCTACTCTCCTACTTACTCTAATCCATGCATCTAGATAATATATACATCTTTGAGTTTTATGTCCCTCTAAAAAAATCATTTGAAGAAATTTTGTATGTCCTTATTTCCAGTAAACTTAAGTTTCATTTAATGCCAGTTTATTAAACAGTAGCTTATCATGTGGTAATGTAATAATGTCTGTTTGCCTCATAGACCCTATTAAATAGTGTATTTTTAAATGGTCAAAAAGTAACACAGCTGGTGGAGTGGCTCAAGTAGTAGAGCGCCTGCCTAGTGAGCCTGAAGGCCTAAGTTCAAACCTCAGTACCACCAAAAAAGTATTACAAATAAAATAATATCAAAAAAACAATTTTCTCTTTCAAAGTAGAATAGTTGCTTTTTAAAATTATGATTATTATGTATTTTAACATACTATAAGAGTCAGTTTTCTACTTTTTAAAAAGAACTACAGGCTCTTAATAAAATTGGTATACTTTACAAATATGTGTGGGAATTTCTTTTTTAGGAGAACCACCAATCAAAAGGAGCTTGTTAAATGAATTTGACAAAATAATAGAAAATAAAGAAAAATCCTTAAAGGCTTCAAAAAGCACTCCAGATGGTAAAATATGCTTTTTATTGATTTTTTTTCCCTTCTATTGGTCTATGCAAAACATTCTTAAAGTTATCTTTCTCACTTCTTTTGGGTGTATCTGTTCGGAAAGATTTATAGTGTGGTTTAATTGTTAAATTTACATCTTGTTTGTTAAGTGGACTTTTCCTTTGTAATAACGCAGTATGATGCTGAAGTTGTCTGAAATTGGAAAGTGTGAAATGACTCTAAAATAGTGACTTTTTAATTTTAAAAAATGCTAAAATTTAGTAAAAACTTATACTATAATAAATTTCAATCTCAGGTTCCTGAGTCCAGTCAGATTTTGACTACCACCATTCCACTAAAATCAGTCTTTTTTAAGTCATATGATGGTCTCTGTGTTGTCAAGACAAGTGAGCATTTCTCAATTCTTACTTGACTCTATCTTTTAACCACATTAGATGTAGTTGATCACTCTTCTCCAGCCCATCAGTCTCTTGGTTGTCCTCTTAGGTGGCTACTCTCTCACAGTATTCTTTATGGTTCTTCCTTATTCTTTGCTTGCTGTAAACAAAAGCACCCCAGGGACGCTTGGATCTCTTCTCTGCTTAAATTTCACTAGCTACCAATGTTACATCTTCAGCTTTAGCTTCCCCTGAACTCCAGACTCATTCTTTTGCCTACTTAATATAGCTGTACTTGAATTAGTGATATGTATCTCAAACTTATGGCCAATGCTGAACTCTTCATTCTATCCCCCTCCAAACTTGTTCTTTCTCTTATCTTTTCTCAATAAGAGACAGTACCATTCTGCCGGTTGATCACATCAAAACCTTGATGTTAATATTCTATTCTTTTGTTTCCTCATATTCCATACCCAACCCATCAATAAACCCTGTAAGTTCTAACTTCAAAAATGTAAGAATTTGATGCATGAGGCCCTGGGTTCAATCCCCAGCACCACAAAAACCCATTTTGCTGGGTATGGTAGTATACCTCTGTAATCCAAGCACTCTGGAATCTGAGGCAGGAGGATCTTGACTTAGAGGCCTGGGCTACGTAGTGAGTTTGAGGCTAGCCTGGGCTGTGTTATGAGGCTGTCTCAAAAACAAGAATTTAATCATTTCTTCTCACCTACCATTACTACTCTCATCTGGGCCAAGCCATCCATAGCTTCTTGCTTGATCTCCCTACTTTTGTTTTTGCTCCTCCTCCAGACTGTTGTGAACACCGCAGCCAGAATCACCTAATCACATAATGATCAGATCATGTTACTTTTGGTTGCTTAAAACTCTTCTGGGTAGTATCTCCTTTAGGCTAAAATCTGAAGCTTACTGTGGAATATTTGAAAATTATGCATGTAACTGTGTATGCTCAGTAACTACTTGGTTTCTGAGTTTGGATCAGAAAAGGTCACATAGTAAAAGATAATTTAACTATAGAGGCTTAGTTCTGAAATATATGAAATAAATCCCACAAGAAATGGGAACACTTTGGAATTTTTTTAATGGATCTCCAACTTAATAATGGAAATTTGGAACTTGCTAGGCAGGCTCTCTACCACTTGAGCCACTCCACCAGCCCTCTAGATTTGATACACATTGGCAGTTAGCTAATACCATTGAGTTATGATTGTTAACATCAGCTGATTAATTTATAACTGATTTTTTAATGTTTGTACTGTGAGTTATTTGGTATATACTCATAATCGATTTGGTATATACTCATAATTGATCAGATTTATTTTGACTGATTTTTTTTTTTTTTTGGTGGTAGTGGGATTTGAACTTAGGGCTTTGTGCTTGCAATGCGGCCACTCTACTGCTTAGACTCACCTCCAGTCCATTTTGCTGTGGTTACTTTGGAGACCCGGATCTCATGAACTATATGCCCAGGCTGACTATGAACCACGATCCTCCTGATCTTAGTCTCCCAAGTCACTAGGATTACAGGCATGAGCCACCAATACCTGACTTCTTTTTATAATTACTACTTACTAAATATCCATGAAAAATTTAAAATCTTTGAAAATTTTTGTGTGAATATAACACGTAATAAACAAATAGAAAATAAAATTTCCTAGTAGCTTTTCATTAATAATATAAAATATTTTTCAGGCATAATAAAAGATAGAAGATTGTTCATGCATCATGTTTCTTTAGAGCCAGTTACCTGTGGACCCTTTAGGTAAGATATGCTTAATTTTTAAAAAAATCTAGTACAAGAAAAATGTGATTTTTAAACATTATTATTTCTAAAACTAACAGTACTAATATGTATTAAAGAAGTTAACACTTTCCTGTTTGAAAACCTGTATCGGGATTAAGTAATTCACTTCTTTAATAGTATTTTATAGTGCTGTTCACCATTTTTTAGTTTCATGACAGCTTTGTAAAGTAGACAAACAGATTGTGTTCTAATTTTTTGTGGATTTATGAAGTTGAGAGGGTTAAGGCAATACAAAACATCAATTAAAAAGGCAGCAGGTACTGAAAATACCTTTTATTTCCTCCTCCTGTAAACTCAACTAAAATTACCAAGAGAATTTTAACATATAATTCCCAAGGACTCTGATCAGAAAAACCAAACTGCAAAAGTTTGGAAGGCAAAAACATTAGTGACTGAGCAATCTGAAAAAGCTACAGAGCAAGCAAAGAAACTACCCAGTTTCCCCTAAAAACTTGAGGAAGACTGAAATTGGCTGCAGTATATAGTTCTCATGATAAAGTAGAAAATAGGAAGATTAATTGAAATTCTGCTCAAGAAATATCTGTATTCCCTCCCCTACTGTAGACAGACATTTGTTGCTCTTTCTCAGAAGACCAAAAGTTTATTCTGTGGAGAAGACAAATAGGAATTCGGATTAGGGGATAGGCTAGGGGAAGAGGACACTAGACACAGTTGAAGAAAGGGTATTAATAACAGAAATTAAGTAATAGTCTGTATATCAAGCACCAAGACTCCAAGCCTCCTTCCCGTGTGTGCCTCACAAGTACTGGCAGGAGACTAAAAGATTTTTTGGTGGGAAATATGACCAGCCCAGTAGAAAATTAACAGCTGTTAGTACTCAATTGAAACAGCATAGCCAGTAATGAAACAGTAAAGCCAATGATTGTTACAAGCCCTGTCAGCACATGGAACTTTCAGTCAGCAGTTAATATTACTCTTTTAAATGAGAACAGATAACCAAGGATCACTAGCCATTGGAAGGAAACCACATTGAAAAATGAAAACCAAGCTACAAAAAGAAACAGAGGAAATAGATAATGCAATGAGAAGAATATTTCAAAAAAAACTTAAATATTCACAGATAAGATATTGTATCCTTAAAATAAGACCAAGTTACTATATAGAAAGAGCTCTTTGAAATTAAAAAAAAAATATGGCAGAAATGAATTGACTTAGTCAAAGTAATAGAAGATAAGTCATAAAAGCTCCCAGAATGTAGAACAAAAAGAAAAAAAGGATAAAAAAAAGAAAATGAAAGATAATTAATCTTGAGAATTCAAGAAAGAAGGAACAGAAGGGAAATGAAGAGAAAGACATTTTTAAAGAATTAATTTAAGATTTGTGACCAGTACCACAGCACATGCATTTCCTTGATTTAAAGAGCCTACTAAGTTAAGCATAGGCATAAAAATAGTCCATCTTAAGGCATATCCTTGTAAAATTTTAGAATACTAGGAGCAAGAGTAACCTTAAATTTTCTGAAAGGGAAAAAGAATCAGGTTTCAAATAAGGCTTCAAGTATCAGAGTGGTATGAATTCTCTCATCATCGATGATAGAAAATTATAGATTCTATAATGTCTAACAAAGAACATTACCTTCAGAATTCTGAAAGTAAATGATACCTACCCTAGAATGCTTCACTGACAAAATACCATTTAAGAGTAGGAGTTGGGCTAGAGGCATGGCTGAAGTGGTTGAGTGACTGCCTAACAAACTTGAGGCCTGGACTTTAAACCCTAGTACCACTTGGGGGGAAATCCTTTGAAAGGGTAAGGGTAGACAGGCCTGGGATGTAGTCAGTGGTAGCACACTTGCCTAGAATGCCTAACTGAAGCCATGGGTTTCACTGCCAGAAAAAAAGTGAAGGTAGATATTTTTCAGATGCAAAATACAAAAAGATTTATCTGCCATGAATTTTTCTCAGGAAACTAACCAAAATAAGACCATAAACTGAAGAGAATGAAGATGTGGTACTTAGGAAATAGGAATTCAACATAGAGAGGCAAAGGAAGCCTTCAGGATAATATTGAAGGGCATCCCATAATAATAGCTGTGATAGAAGTCTAGAGAAGCACCTAGACCACTTTCAACAAAACAGAGAGAGCCTTGGAAGAGATTGTCTACAAAGTAAAATTAAAGCAGCATCAATTTTTGTTTTGTGTTTTTGAGGTGAGTCTAGCTGTGTTGCCTCGAACTCAGGAACATCCTATCTTAACTTTCCAGGAGGCTGGGATTATAGGCACATACCACTGCACCTGGCTATGTTTTCTTTTTTTGACACAAGGTCCCTCTAGGCCAGACTGGCCTAAAACTCCCTATGCAGCAAGTGTCTGCTTCAACCTTCTGAATTCTGGGATCACAGGTGTGCACTAACACACCTGGCCAGAATTTGGTTTTACATTTTTGTTTGTTTGTTTGTTTGTTCTTCTGGTGCTAGGGATCAAACCGAAGGCCTCAGGCATGCTAGGCAAGCCCTCTGCCACTGAGTTGTATCCCAACCCCTGAGTGTTAAATCTGTGAACAGTCTTCCTGTAGAGCACTTGTATCCCCAGTACTACTAAATAAATAAATAAAAGAAACTTCTTGTCAAGATGATGAATTGAGCATATTCATCTATATTCATCCTTCTGTATTGTAGCTGCTTGGTTCTAGGATACTGTTCCCTACACACAGATAGCAAAATCCACAGATGCTCACGTCCCTTACATAAAGTGGCATAGTATTTGCATAGAACCTACACATGTCCTTCTGTATACTTTAACTCATCTCTGGATGACTTGTAATACCCAGTACAATACATGTGCTATATAAATAGCTCTTATGATGCATTGTTTAGGGAGTGGTAATGGCAAAAAAAAGTCTGTATGTGTTCAGTACAAATGAAGTTATTTTTCCACAAACATTTTCAATCCTGCTTGGTTGAATCTGAGATTGCAAAATCCACAAATGTAAAGAATCAATTACACATGCACAAAAGAGCACATGCACAAACACCAGAGACAGGGAGAATTGCAAAGGAGACCACAGTAACTAGATTTTTCACAGCATACAGAAAACTGCTTTAAAGTGAATAAATGCTACAACAGAGCACTAACCACTTTACATTTAAAATGTCTCAAGGCCAAGTGTAGGGTTGCAACTCTGTAATCCCAGCTACTGGAAATGCAGGAATCTAGAGGTTTGTAGTTTGAGGTCAACCCAGGTAAAAAAGTTAGACTTCATCCCGAGAAACAAGCCTGACATGGTGGTACATTTCTATGATTCCATTTACTCGTGAAGCTAGAGATAGGAGGATCATGGTCCAATGCCAGCCCTAGGCAAAAGTAAGACCCTACCCCAAAAATAACTGAAATGAAAAAGAGCTGGAGTGTGGCTCAGCTGCCTAGCAAGCTCACTCAAGACTCTTGAGTTCAAACCCTAGTACCTCCAAAAAAAGAAAGAAGAAGTCTCAAAAGTCAGGAATTGGTAGCTTCATGTAACTCCAGAATTGGGTGGTGAAGGAGGGAGCAGAAATCAGAGGATAGATTGCAAATAGATTTAAGAAGCATTTCCATGAACCTGTGAATCAACCTCTGACCCACTCTCACAGCACTGAAAGTTTGTTCTCCAGAGAGGCTGCTCTAGAGGCTTCTTCATTGGTGAGCACACTAGACACAGTGGAAGGCAGCAGGTAATGTAGTGAGGGCAAGAGGAATAAGTAAATGTGTGCATTTTGAGTGCTGAGGAACAACACCCCCTCCACCCAGCCTTCTCTCCCACTCAGCTTCCAGAATGCTGGCAGTTAAGCTTTCATTACTGGGGAGTTCCAATTAATTAGTCTACAGTATAGTTGACAATCAGCAAGTCACATCTTTATATCAACAACTTCCAATTTTTTGGTTTCCTGCTCTTAAATATGAACAGAAATTATAGATTAAAAGATACCAGGAAAAGTAAAAATACCGCCCCCCAAAAAAAAAAAGCTAATGGAAACAACTTAGAAGCACTATTCAGGAAAAAGAGAAAAATGTATATACAATATATATGTATATACATATTTAAAATAAAGGAAATTATTCACCTTGAATTTAAAGTGTGAAACTGATAGCCCTGAACTTTCTAAAGGCTTTTATGGTTTTTTAAGAAGAGGATTCTGGTTAAGCCACTACTATCTAGGTAGAATTTTTCATAATGGAGAGTTGAAAATAATAGGATGGTATTTATAGCTAACATTCATGAAGCTTTTCTACATGCTAGGCATCTTTTTAGCATTTCCCATGCATTGGTTATATCTCACTTAAGGATCATATAATATTGACAGATTTAAAAAATTAGCTCAAGAGATAAGTTATAAAGAAAGGAAATAAGCTACATATTAATGCTTAGTATCCTTTACAGTAATATAACACAGTCATCTGTAAAATGTACTTAGTCTTAATGTAAATGTTGGAAATTGACAGAATCAACAACCTAACTTGAGAAGCTAAGGAGAGACGAGAGTGAGTATGTGTGAAGGTAGTTATGGCAAAGAACTAAATATTCATTTTCCATAGTGGGAGATCATTAGCAACTTTTGAGAACAATTTCTATAGAATACTGGGAGAAAGGAAAGTTTCTCCCAATGAGAAACAATGTGTGGCTATGAGGAAGTGAAAATAGCTAGTAGAGATTACCTATTGAAGAAGGTTGACCAAGGAG